CCTATGTCACTGCCATTGGAAAATGCATGAGCTATAAAAAAAATTGCTACTGAGATTTGCTGGTTCACGACATCACTGTGGGTATTTGCTGCTCAAACTCCTTGTTCACGGCGATGGACTCTGCTGTTAAGTTTACAAATAATGGTTGCAAAATTTGTCTAGGCGCTGACGTTGGGTTTCTGAGATGACAGCTGCCAAGTTGCCGGAACATAGCCTTTGAACATCAGAGATGGCTACCTCATCGTTTCTAGTTCATAGCTACTGGAAGGCACAATAAATCAGGTCAAGAAACCAAGCAAATCAGGTTTTAGGGATCCCAATGGCGGCAGAGGTCTGAAAGTGTGGGCTAAGATTTTAGGCCCAATTCTATTGGGGGCTTTGAAACAAATTTTTTTCTCTTTAAAGTTTCAGTAATTGCATTCGGCCCCAATTTAATAATTACCTCCTTGGCCTAGAATTTATGAAATTTACTCCGTATCCCAATGAAATTTTTAGAAATTATATTATGGTCCCTTTAACTTTTAGAATTGCATTTTTTGACCTCAAGACTCTTCCAGAATTACCTTTTAACACTTGGATACCTTTCAAAATTTTACTGAAGTCCTAGATTTATTCTCTAATTCCTTAAAGACCTTAAGGACTTTTGAAATTATTTTTTTTTGTCCTAAAGTCATAAAGCTTGTAATTTTGTGAATTATTGATGATACTTAAGATTTTATAGCATTAATAATTGACGTACCCTATAAGTGTGACATTATTAATGTGATTTTGACATAAGGATAGACAAATAGCATTTTTTTATGTATTAGATATTTATTATACCCCATAGACATGGAAATATTTAATACATAATTTTGGGTACGGACTTTTGTGTGAGCCAAATCTATGTGGTATGAGAGCCTTCTTGGTGCATGATGATAGTTGCATAACTGAAATTCGCTTATTGAGAATTCTGTACTATAATTATATTATTTACGCATAATTATTATTTCCCATATTCTATTTTGCGATTTCAATTTCTGTGTTATGAGAAACTATCTTTTGTTAAGGCCTTTTATGGGACTTGGTGCATGATAATAGTTACATAATTGAAATTAGCTTATTGGGAATTTTGTACTATAATTATGTTATGCATGCATAATTATCATTTCCCATATTATGTTTTGCAATTTTAGTTTTTATTTTGTGCAACTATTTTTTTGTAAAGGCTCTTTATAGGACTTATTATGATCATTTGTGAGAGTCCTTAAATATGTACCTTACCACTTTGAGAATTAGTTGGCTCTCTTTGGCAGTGATTGAATTCACCATTAAGGAAAGGAATTAAGGACAACATTTCTAACAAGATATATTATGTGATGCTTGACAACACTTAGTTATAATGGGACATTTGGTGTTAAAGGGGGTATGTCTTGAATTTGTATGGGGTTGACTTTGGAGCATTTTTGGTTTATAAAATTATTACAACCTAATTATGAATTATTGACATCTTCTTACTTTATGTAAGAAATGGGAGAGATTGAAGGATCATGCAACATTAGTAGTAGCCCATAACAACTTCCAATTTAAGGGGTGAAATGTTTCAAGTTTTCAACAGCTTTGAAAGATAAGGCTCATTTAAGCAAGAGTTACTAGATTATTGTCCTTTTATAAGTTTATACAATTCTAAACTTATGATGAGCTTTTGGTACTTTGGGCATGTAAAATCCATTCTATTGTAAGGCCTGTATAGAATGTTCTACCATTAATAATTTAGCTTTATTAGAGAGATGGATAAATTACTGATATTTGGAATTTTCATTTCCATCCACATTCTAAGAGTCATTTACACTTAATGATTGTGTGCTCACCTATAGTAGGTCAAATTATGGTGGTGTATTATTTGCAACTATATTTCAAGATATTATGTTAACAATGAATTTTACCCTATAGGTATGTCATTGTTAATGTAATTTGTATTTAAAAAAACTTTGAAATTATCTTAGAATACCATATTGATAAAGGACGTTATCGGTAAAACAAAGATTACCATTATTGGTAGTTGGGCATTTATTTTAACAAGTTTGCAAATAAGGATTTTAATGTTTTGATATTTCTTATACCCTATAGGTATGGTGATAATACATTTTGTTAAAACCCTTTTTGATAAAGTCCTTAATTCATATTTGAGTTAAATGCCTAATAATCTAGTGTCTAAAATAATATAAGATAAATTATTTGTATTAGGCTTGAAATCATAAGTGAGATCTTTAGTTGAAAAAGCTTAATTTTAAAATCTATTAAAGGATTCATTGTTTGCTATTGTATAGGATTAAGAAGGTGCTAATTTTGTTACTCACTATCAAGTTAATCAAATTTAAATCTTACTTTCAAATTAATAGTGAGAGTTATAGGTATATACCACTGGCCTACTTGTTAAGAGCACCACCTTTACCTAAGCATGTTTGTTTATCAACTTCATTTGATGATGATGAGGTTGTTAAGGAATCCACTTGTTAAAATAAACCTTTCTTGTTGTATATTGTGAGGACATTATCACATTACTCAAAGATGTCATAATAATTTGCCATTAAATTATCTCAAACGAACAAAGACTTGAGGGAAGGGATTGAAATTCTTTAATAAGATAGTTTTGTAGAATTTAGTTAGGAACATTTAAGGTGCAACTATCTAAAATCATCTTTGAGAATAAGTAAATCTCTAAGTAGTGATATCTGAAGTTTTGATGAGGCTATTAGCTCCCTTTAATATTACTCAAAATACTTTAGATTTGTGAATATTTGTTAAATATTTGCGAAAAGTAGCCTTTTGCTTCTTATGCTCCATGTTAATAGCTAGTCACTAGCTAATAATCAAGTAAATGAGACAACATACTTATAGTCATACTATCTTGATATAAAATTTATTTGTCTGACATATTTTATTCAAGGATTAATATTCATTTTAATATGTCTAATTGCAACCTTGATTTGTCTCAAGCAACCTATTTTAATCAAATGTTTAGAGATCTAATACATACTCCTAGTTTGATACCTGTTTAAGGGGTGTAAAGTTGCTTAAGTTTTCACATCCTTAATACTAATGTTGAGGAGGATTTAAAATTTGTATATAAAGAATTTTGTACGCTTCCATTATGAATGACTCTGATGATGCTAAAATATGCATTGGTGTTTGATATAGATTTTGCTTCACGTACCCCTTGGTAAGTACTTGCAAAATCATAGCAAGAAAATATTAGGATCATTTTAGAAAATTCTTGTATGCTGAAAGGTTTATGACACCTAATGTTGGTTGTTAGAAATTTGAACCTCTTTTAAATTTGTGACTATGAGGATTTAGAACGTGCATCTTATTATTCATAATATAGAGGAGACCTATCTTGTAAAAAATGAGTGTATTATAGACACTTATAGCTGCCTTAATTTAGAATATGGAATATATATATCGCTTGTTGGAAAGCCTTTTATTAGGTTATATAGTTGAGAAAATTATTATTGGACATGTATTTTGTTGTTTCTTTCAACTATAAATGCGATATTTTGTCTATCTCAAACTTCTCTCAAATATTTTGTTGGAGAAGATTATAGACACTCAAACTCATGTAGTTCATTCTGTGGTAAATGTATGCTTATGCATTTGTATGACTAAAGGCTTGCCTATGTGGGTTTTATTGATCTTTTGAGATAGCCTTAATTCAGTAGGAGTTTGAGTTGTATCCTTTTAAAGACATTTGATGGTTTCTTGTTTCAGAAATAATGAATTGCTTTATATCATTTGTTTCCTCATAGGATTCAATGATTCATATTTATGCATCTTGTATCACTTGTTTCCTCTTGGGATTCGGTGATCTTGTATTGTTTCTCTATTGAGTTTCAATCTAGGTTCAGAGATGTTGCACTGCTTTATATCATTTGTCTCCCCATAAGATTCAATAATTTGTGTTAGAGCACCTTGTGTCACTTGTTTTCCTATACGATTAAGTAACTTTGTGTTGTTTCTTTATCGAGTTATGGTCATAAGACCTATTCTATATTCAGTTCAGTTAGATATATCTATATCATTTGTATCCCCATAAAATTCAATGATTTTGTTGTGATTTGCTATACATGTCACTTGTTTCCCCATAGGAATCAATGATCTTATGTTGTTATCTTATTGAACTGTTTTTGGAATAAAAATTTTGTATTTTGTTTAATTCAGATTATGAGATATTATATCACTTGTTTCCCCATAAAATCCAGTGATTTGTGAAATTTTATTTTTTTAAATTTTTTTGTGGCTTTTTATACAACTTGCTTAGTTAATGCAATCCAAGTGGAAGATTGTTGGAATGTTTATTTATGGATGTACATTAATTAATAAGCCCAAACAAATTAATCTTTATTATCTTGTGTGAACTGTGATAGGTAGACCATACAAGTGAGCCCAATGAGCAGAGGCCCAACCTATAAACCTATAGCCGTCAGTTATTCCCTATCTCTTAACTAACTCAGTTAAAGATAATGAAATATAATTAATTAATTTATTTATTATAACAGTTACTGATCTGGTCCATATAAGTCAATCAGTTGATAACCACAAATATACAATAGTTTCACTTCTTCTATTATCTCTGAACTCTCTGCAAAATATGGGGGTCCAGTGGTGTAATGGCCTAAAATTTACAAAAAAAATAATAAATAAATAAAATAATAATAATAATAATAATATATTCTTTCAATTTATATATTTAAATAAATATTACGGTAACTAGAGAATGGTGACTTAGTGAAATTTATACTAATAGTTTATTTAAAGATTCAGAGTTTGAATTCTTTTAAGCAATGGGTTAAATTTTATTAGTTTAAATTTTTGGGAAAATTACAAAAGTGCCCGTGTTTGTTATGTTATTATAGGAAAATATTGTTCCCTCTTTTGTAATTTTCACAATTTTCTAATATCCAGATTGTTTATTTTCCTCCCTCTCGGTCAAACTCACGCACAAGATTAACACCATTTTCTGGATCCTTCGACTGAGGGGTTTTGCCGATGTCGTCTCCCTCTGTTCCTCTTCGATTTTTCCAGTGAGTTCTCTTTATTTTACCTCCAGCCAAGTCTTCCCCATTTTTCCTCTTCTTTTCTTCTCTTTTCGGTGGTGCACACGCATTCTGGACTAGAGGAAGAGAGTTAGACATTTTTCTTGGTTCCAGTAGCTTCGAGCCTTTGATCCCGCCATCTTTGTCTTCCGCCCTCGTCCCTGTTACTCGTCCAGTCGCTGGCAACCTTGAGAACGCCGGAATCCTCACTGTGGGTAGTGCACAGTGCTTCGTCCAGCTCTCCCCTGTTCCGTATCATTTTTCCTTCTTCAGCATCTGTGTAAATATGTGTAAGTGATCTAGCTTTCCTCTCCTTTCATCTTTATTTTTCATCTGCCACTAGTGACCATAGAAAAATCAGAATTTGTCTTCTTCGATTGCAATGTGATGTGGTTTTATTGGGCTCCCTCTCCCCTGTACAGCTCATGAAAATTTTATTCTTCCTTGCTGCGTTGTGTGTGTGATTAAGGTTAGAAGTATTGAACTCTTCTTCCTAAGGGTACTAAGTGCGTGAGTGTGTGATGTATTGGTTGAAACTATAAGCTTTTTCCCTTGTGCTATTGCTGCCGTGATGAACAGGTGGGGATGCTAAATTAAGATAAAAAAAATTATTAAGAGTAGGATGAGGATATGTATGGGATTGAGCTTTTGAGTTAAAATGATTTTCTTTTAAATGGGTTGATGTTGAAGAAATGGTTGGAATGAGATTTGGATAAAGAGCTAAAATTTAGAAGTTAAATGTTAGTGCCTATAAAATGTTCGATGAAATGTTTATTAGAGAGAGTTGCTTGAGTTTGTATTTTTCAAAACTCATTAAATCTCTATGGAGATATAACTTACTTGGATACTAGTGTTTTGTGAATTAAACTTGGTATTGTGTAGAAATTGGTTTGTATAAGCTATTTGTAAACTATTTGAATTCTTAGGAATGATATGGTTAGTAATAAATTGTGGACAAGAGATTGAATATTAGAAAGTGTTAATTGAGTGATTAGAAATAATGTATCTAAGACATTGGATGTAAAGCTAGAGAGAGTTTTATATCTCAAGTAAATAAATTGGCATGGTTAAAGCAACATGGAGAAAATTGGTGATATAAATGATGACAATGGGACAAAAATTTAAGATATGAATTTTAGTTTTGGAATTTTAAATAATGGAAGTTAATTGGGATTGTGTTAGAAGTAGAAGGAAACCTTTGTAATTTATAGAAGGTGCAATAAAGTCTTATATATTATATATTGTAGGATGTTTGGAAGGAAGGAAGCTCAAATAGAGTCATAAGAAATGAGTTTGGAGCCTTAAGAATACTCCAGGTAAGTGGATAGCATCCCAACTAATTTTTTTTATCAAAATTTTCCTTTACTAAAATATTATATTTTTATAGAAATCATTTTTATAGCATTAATGTGAATAGTGAATATTTGTTGATTAACATTACTTTATTTTGAGAAATTAGCTTTACCAAATTTGAAATGTTATTTGATCAATTAAATCAAGTTTAAATTTTGATTATGAGATTTTTATTCTATCAAATATTGAAGAGATACAGAGAATGATTAATGCGAGTTTGAAGTTGAAATTTTTTTTATAAATGCAAACATGAGCATTAGATATGAAATTTGATTCTGGCAAGTTTTTAATGCTTAAAAGTATTCATGCGAGTTTAATTTTGAGAATGAAACTGTATCTTGAAAGTGATGATTTTCTCGCATGTTTGAAAATGGTTTTAAAAAGGGACTTTGTACAGAACACTGTCTGCTAACGGCAGTTTCGTTAGCTCTTGGCACGCCATGGTACACCTAACTAGCAGGGTGTTTATAGGAGGTGCTTGTCCCATGCAATGGGCAACGCACGTGGAATGGAGGGATGGTTATTCGTGAGCATTGTACTCACGTTTGTTTCGTGGCTTTGGCCGTGTTTGTTACTTATCCTTGTGGATTGTGTGTCCATGTTTGTTTCGTGGCTTTGGCCGCGTTTAGTTACTTACCCTCGTGAATTGTGTGTCCACGTTTGTTTTCGTGGTATAAGCCGCGTTTGGTTATTTACCTCATGGACTGTGTGTCCACGTTTGTTAATTATTCTGATAAGTCCCTATAATTATGAATCCAATTATTTGATGATTTTATATTCCATTGATTTTTATTCAGTAATTTGTTTACAAATATTTATTTTATTTACATGTTTTTTTTAAATCAAGTGATATTATCAGTTGCTATGATAGTTCAATGATTTGAGATTTTCTTTGAATTTTTATAGAGACATTTTATTATGAAGTTTATTGAATTTTTATAGAAATTTTTGTTTCTTTAATTTACATATCTATTTTGAACTTTTCATTTTACTTATGTTCTATTATTTATTGTTGGGACGTTATTCACTGAAAAATATATTTTTAGCCTCAGGTAGTATAAGTTGAACTTGTATATCAAGGTGTTACTTGAGGCATTTTATCACTAATGTGGAGTGGAAGAATTATTTCAAATAAGTTTTGCTTGATGAAAATTTGAACCCTGTATTAATTTCATGGCCTGGTCCTAACTGCTCCACATATAATGTAGGTAGGATTCTCGTCTTTCTTTAAAGACTGTATATATTTTAGTAGGGAGCAAGATCCTTTTTATTTTATTTTATTTTATTATTATTGTTCTTTGTCATACATTACAGGAAGTCTTATTTACATGAAAGGTCTATTAAAAATTATATATATATATATATATATGCCTATAGTTTTGCATGGACCAAAGTATATTTGTTCAAGGCTTAAGGGATATGGTTTTATACACATATTCCGTGTCGATCACGCCTTAAATTTTTGGGGTGTGACAATTGGATTGTGCATCGGCCTATACTCGAGGTAATCGTGGTCTTGTATCCAAGAATGAATTCTTCGGGTACACACATCACTATCCTTAAATCTTATTTGATTTATGAGAATTGAGATACTAAAGTTAATATAATTTGGTCCTTAATATCATTCTCCTTGGACAAATTCATTGCTTTTTTAGAAATGTATTAAGTTGAGTCTTTGTCAATGTCCCTAAATGTCGTTCCCCCTAGACAATTCATTGCTTCATAGAAGTGAGGAAGTCGAGTGTTTGTCAACTTGTTAGCAACCCTATAAAATAAGCTAAAACGATGTATAGATCTCACCAATCACCAATAAAAAATTAGAGGATTTATTCCTTATATTTATAATATAGAACGGTTGATGTTTTACTAATTTTAAATCAATTAAATAAGTAAATAAATTTAATGATATGAAATATTAATATATAATTAATAGAATTAAAGTGCAAAAATACTCATAAATTTTTTTTGCAGGAGCATTTGATATTCTTAATATAAAATATAAAATCACATGAAAAATTCAATATTTCAAATTAGTTTATACTCTATAGGCAAAAAATTATTTCAAACTTTATTGCTATAATAATTTTATATTATTTAAAGAATCAGTTTAAGCATAAAACATATAAAAATGAAAATTCATTACCTTATTTTTTTTTCTATTAATGATAAAAATAAAGTAGTATAACACATTTAATATCTTAAAATTTTAATTTTTGGATTGAAAAAAAGGAAAAAAAATAAAAAGAAACTTATATATTCTAGTAGTGACAAAAAAATGTCCTAAGAGAAGGTGATATTATTAGCAGTGACAAATAAATGTAACCACTAAATATCTAACGATGGTAGAGTCGAGAATAAAGGTCGGGCCTAGAGGGCAGTCCATTTAAGCCAATTTTTATAAGGATTCAGGCTTGAAAAAATGACATTGTTTTAAGAGAATCAGGTTTTCAAGCCAAACCCTAATAGGCCTTGAAAAAAGGGGCTCGAGCAGCCTTTTTAGGCATGTTTTTGTTTTTTCTTAAAAATAAAATATTTTTAATTTTTAAATTGAATTTAAACTTTAAAATATATGTTTATACCTTAAAATTAGAATTTTTATTATTTATTTTTAATTTTTAAACATTATAATTTATATTTTTAAAAATATATGAAATATTATAATTAAAAATTTTAATTTTTAAAAATTATAAAAAATAATACAAGGGCTTATAGGCCTAGCCCTAAGCCCTTTATATAAGGGCCGGGCTTTAAAAAATGAGGTATTTTAAGAAAATTAGGATTAAGGGCCTAAGCCCTTAAGGGCCAGGCCCATAAGGGTTGAGCCCATATGGGTTAGGCTCGCCCGTTTTCTAACTCTGAATGACAGTGACAAGCTGATGCCCTAAAAGAGTCTTACTTTAGCAGCACAAAAATCTTTATTTAAGTGGGAACACATGAAACTCACCACTAAATATCTTCAGACACAACACAATATTTGTCACTATTGAGAGTTTGACATATGGTGAAATAGTGGCATTTAGATCGTGCTGAACTTCAAGATTTTAGCAGTAAATTTTATTGTTGTTGCTAAAAGTCTCACTTCAAGTGGTGATTTTTTAAAATCATCATTGAAAGTCAAACTTTTAAATGTTGTGATTTTAATAGTGATTTTAATGTTGTATTTGAATTGGTAGATTTAGATTTGAAATATTCAAAATTTTTTGTTTGGTTAGTTTTAAAAACAAAGTTTATTACTATGAGGTAGTGTTTCGAGGATGTATATGAAGATTTAAAATAATAAAGGTTTAAAGAAGATTTGAAAAGATTCCAAATCTATAAATTTTTAAGTGTTTAAATAGAAAACATAGCTCAAATTTAAATATATATATATATATATATATCCAAACATAACATTAAAGTCACGTCATATTGCCAACTTTTAGAAGTTGAAATCTAGTTATTTTTTTAATTCCCCCTTTTTTTTACCCTTTTTGAATCTTATGTATTATAACTTTTCCTTTTCAATTAATTGGTCTTTTTATAAAAAAATTAGTGGGACTTTTTTAATTCGCAATAAATAATGTTAAAAGTCTTTTTTTTTGGTAGTGCATGAAAATACACCTATAATAAATATTCTATCCATTTAAAAATGTAAAGTATTTTTTTAAGGGTTGGATATTAATAAATGTGGGACATTTTTAGTGTTTCAAAGTGCAATTAATTTATTTTTTTAAAAAAATTGTGCTTATTAAATGAATTATTTTATATTTATTTTTAAGTGAAATACTCTATTAAATAAGGATAAATAAGAAAAGATGATGTTAATTTGAAGATAATTAATTAATTTATTGAGATGTGAAATTCGATTTAAAATGCTTTATATTTTTTAAATGAAAAGAGTACCATTTAAATTCAAAATCTAAACATATTTCCAACTGCAATTTCTTTGCCAATTCACAATTGAAATAAGCATAACAACAAGATTATTTTTCCCTCAAAAAGTTATATATGGATTACAAATTAATTAATCTATCTTTTTTTTTTTCAATTTGCATTAAAATCCACGGTTTTCTTTATCTGGTAGGAAGAGCCTTAAATGACTCGTATTTTCTTTCGTCAGTCGTAAGTATGTCATAAATTTGCAGCAACTCAGTGTCTTCCAAGTTTGAAACTTTATCAAGTTCTTCAAATATCTCCTCGCCACTTGTTTGTAAGTGTGGAGTGTAATCCTTGGATATAGTATTATCTTGGTTTCTCTTCCTTGAAAAATTATGCTTCAAGGACACAAAGATGAAGTTGAGACCTGTCAACCATCAATAGAAATTGCTTTTTCCTAGATAGACAGTATTGAACCATATCCAAAAGCGGATCACCAAAATAAACCAAAAAGATGCGAATAGTAGGACCCTTTGACAACGTATAAGACATTTTTGGAGAAGATTTGGTATTCCTAAATATAAGATATTTTGACAAACTAATGTTTCATTAATTATATTTTTCTAATATTATCCTTTCTATATATTTTTTTCTCTTTAATATTCTTTCACAAATAAAATATTAAATGAAGGAGATTTTTAAAAGTTTATATTGGTGTTTTGAAAAGGTAAAGCTATAAAGTGTATTTAATTAATAAATTTTATTAGTATGTCTCTTATAAATTGAGATGGAGGGATTTGTAAAAAAAAAAAAAAAACGGTGGATAGTAACGCGAGGATTCATATTTTTGGTTTCTTTTGGTTTTTTAGATTGGTTTAGGGCATTTCACACACTTCACTATAAATCTTTTGTGGAATTGGCCGAAAAATATTTTTACAGGAATCATCACTTCATCTGAATTCATCAATACGTACTAAAAATTCAAATAAATACATTATGAAGTAAATGAGAGGAAGATAGTGAAATTTTTTTTTTTTCAATTCCAATCAATGGCAGAGTCAAGATTTAATAATAAATTAGGAAAATCACATCCAAAGATCCCTCAAGGAAATTATTTATAAACAAGAACTAACAAGTTTCATTCCAAAAAAATACAAGTCATGTGCCTATTTTAACAACAATTTATTTTGTATTGGTCCTAGTCCATGAATAATTTTCTTGAGGAGTTATTGGATGTGATTCTCCCTAATAAATTTTAGGAAGGCTGAAAACATATAACATCTATATAATATTAAGAAAAAATTTAAAACCTGGGACTGTGGCACTTGCTAGTCCCGATTCCAATAAATTAAATGACATACCTGAGAAGTCAGGTTGTCATTTGGCTCAACAATGGGTAGTGACGTTGCATTCGCAGCGACTGGGCTTGCAATGTGGAGAGGCAAATCGCGAAGGCTAGTGCTGGTTCGCATTGGCATGTATAGGAGGAGGGTCAACATTGTAACATATATATATATATAATATCAAAATCATTACTTCAAATTAATTATAACTTTCATAATTTCACCTTTTTTTTTTTAATTTTTTAATCATCAAACTTATAGATGAAAAAAAAAATAGACATCATAAAGTATCCAATTATATAATATTATTAAAAAAAGCTCCCCAATCCGTACAATTGACTAGTTTTTGTTTTTGTTTTTCTTATTGTTGCGTAATTTGTTTATATGGTAGAGATCCAGTATGACTATGACATAACCCTAGAATGTTTATATTTTCGTATGAAATTAAGTTTCAGGTTCAAAATAAGTAATAAATAAATAATAAAAGTAAAAGAGAAGGGGCCTTAGAGGAAGCGCCCCCTTCCCCAATGCTAGAATC